CCTCAGGCGATCTGCCTGCCTTGGCCTCCCAAAGTGCTGGGATTGCAGGTGGGAGCTACTGCACCTGGACACTCAGCTTTTCAATGTGATGTTCCTCTGGCCTGGGTTCTCCTCTGTGTCCACTGTGCCCCAGTGAGCTCACCTGTACCCCATGTGCAGACAGTTCTCAAATATTTCTGTGTCAATTAAGATGCATTTAACTATAAGTCAAAGAAAACCCTTCCTCACCCAACAGGAACATTAGGAAGTTTTGTTATCCCACATGCGGAGAAGTCCTAAAGAGGCAGCTCCAGGGGTGTTAACTCAGTGACTCAAAGATGACATCGGGGCTCAGGTTTCTGCATCTTTCCATTGAACCTGCCTTGACATGTCAGCCTCATGTGGTTGCACAATAATGTCTGCAGTTCCTGCTTCATACGTAGAAAGGACAGTGTCTGGGGGAAGAAAAAGAAAAGGCCTGCTTCTTCCTGTATGTTTCTCTTTTCTTCATTCTCATACTTTTTCTTTTTTTTTTTGAGACAGAGTCTCACTGTCACCCAGGCTGGAGTGCAGTGGTGCGACCTTTGCTCACTGAAACCTGAAACCTCCACCTCCTGGGTTCAAGCAGTTCTTGAGTAGCTGGGATTACAGGCAGGTGCCACCATGCCGGCTGATTTTTGTACTTTTAGTAGAGACAGGGTCGTGGCATGTTGGCCAGGCTGGTTTCAGACTCCTGGCCTCAAATGATCCATCTGCCTCGGCTTCCCAAAGTGCTGGGATTACAGGCATGAGCCACCAGGCCTGTCCCATTCTCATACTTAAAAAAAAAAAAAAATTATTTCCCACACTACACAGATGTAAAACTTTTTATTTTGAAAAAATTTTCAGCATACAGGAAAGTTGAAATAATAATATAGTGAATACCATACATTCTCCATCTAGGTTGAACAATTGATTATGTTTCTGAGTGTGGTGGCATGTGCCTGTATCCCAGCTACTTGGGAGCTGACGTGGGAGGATTACTTGAGCCCAGGAGGTCGAGGCTGCAGTGAGCTGTGATTTTACCGCTGCACTCCAGCCTGAGCAACAGAACAAGACCCTGTCTCAAAAAAGAGACAAGGCTGAGTGAAGTGGCTCAGACCTACAATCCCAGCACTTTGGGAGGCCAAGGCGAGAGGATCACTTAAAACCAGGAGTTTGAGACCATCCTGGAAAACAAAGCAAGACCCTTTCCCTACAAAAAATAGTTAAAAAAAATTGGTCAGGCGTGATGGTGTGCAGTTGTAGTCCCAGCTGCTTGGGAGGCTGTGGTGGGAGGATTCCTCAAGCCCAGGACTTCAAGGTTGCAGTGAGCTATGGTTGTACCACTGTACTCCAGCCTGGGCAACACAGCAAGACTCCATCTTTTTTTTTTTTTTTTTTTTTGAGACTGAGTCTTGCTCTGTCACCAGGCTGGAATGCAGTGGTGCCATCTTGGCTCACTGCAACCTCTGCCTTCCAGGTTCAAGCACTTCCTCTGCCTCAGTCTTTTGGGTAGCTGGGACTACAGGCATGCACCACCACGCCCAGATAATTTTTGTATTTTTAGTAGAGATGGGGTTTCACCATGTTGTCCAGGATGGTCTCGATCTTTTGACCTCATGATTCACCTGCCTTGGCCTCCCAAAGTGCTGGGATTACAGGCATGAGCCACCGCACCCGGCCAAGACTCCATCTCTTAAAAAAAAAAAACAACCAAAAATTAAATTAAAAGTGACATAGACATTTTGAAGAGTCCTGGCTACTCGAATTCTGGCTTTATCTGGCGGTTTGCCCATGCGGTGTTTGCCTCACTCCTCTATCTGCCCTTTTGCCTACCAACTGGACACCAGATTTGGAGGTTTGATTAGACTCAGGGTGAAATTTTTGGCAATGCTTCAGGGTGATGTGGCCCATCTGTTACACCATTTCCTTGTATATGTTAGACAAATTACTCGATCCCTCTATGTATGCCTCACTTTCCTAAAATAGTTCATTTACCTCATGGGCGTATTTCACTGATTACATGGGGCTGATCTAAATGAAGTGTTTAGAACAGTTCCTAAGATGCCAGTGGGAGCTGCTGTCAGTTCTTTAATTTCCATTCCTGCAGCCCCTGCCCTCCTCCCTCCACCCCCACAACTTGGCCTCAGCTCTAGGCCTGGGCTCTAAAGACCTTGTCTGCTTGGCAGTCCCTGGATTCCATGACTCGGAGCTGATGGCCTCCATGACGAGGAAGTTGTGGGACTTGGAGCAGCAGGTGAAGGCCCAGACTGATGAGATACTATCCAAGGTGGGGCCCCAGGTGGGAGAGGGCCAAGGGCTGGTTTGAGAGGCAGAGGGGCTGGGCTGGGGAAGCCAGGAGTTGGACTAGGGCGGGTGGTTCTAGGATCATCTGAGGACCAGGTATGTCCTGGGCCTGATCTTGGTCCCTGTGATCTGAGCCGAGAGGCTGGGGGCAGGGTCTTCCCCTCAGCTGAGCAGGGCCCAGTAGACCCAGGATTGGGTGGAGCAGCAGACTTCTGAGCAGAGCGCGGCATCCCCAGATGCTGGGGTCCTCAGGTGTGAGCTGTGCCTCTCCCCACTCAGAGGAACCTCGACAGTTATTTGAGGTCCAGGAGCAGTGGCTGTGCCAAAGGGTGGCAGGGGCTGACTGCTCCCCAGTGTCCAATGTAGGGAAAGTTCTGGAGCTTCCCGTCTGGGCAAGGCTCTGGGAACTACAGGCCCTGTGCTCACCCTGTGTCTTATGCTACAGGATCAGAAGATAGCAGCCCTGGAGGACCTAGTGCAGACACTCCAGCAGCACTCGGGTAGGAGGCTCTTGTGGGGCTGGTCTGCGCCCTGGGTGAGGCACCTTCCCTGGGCCTGGGGTTCCTGGAATCTTGGACAATGGCTTCTGGTATCAAGAGCATCAAGCTGACTGCTGGGTGGGGTGTGGACAGCTGAACCCACAGAGGGGCTGTGACATATCCGGGACAGTGCTGAAGTCACTCCGTGCCCTCCTGTGTGGGTCTGAGTCCTATTTGAAGTGTGGAGGACAAGAGGCTCTGAGTGGGTGGCGGCCTCCTAGAGCCCATCAAGGCACCCACCACAGGGTCAGGGGAGAGGTCGGGGGGCCAAGAGGCAGTTCAGGGGATCCCCAGAACAGTTTCTCCAGGTGACCCTCAGGGCAGAGCTGACCTGGCAGTGTCTTGCTGGGGCAGCTGAAGCCCATCCCTGTCTTTCCCTGAAGCCGAGGTGACCCTGCAGCGGCAGGAGGAACTGGAGGTGATGTGCGTGCAGCTGCAGCGGCAGGTCGGGGAGATGGAGGTGAGCGTGGTGGGCCCCGGGGATGCGGGCAGCCAGCAGTCCCCAGCTCTGTGCAGCACACCCTTTGGGAACTAGGTCCGAGCCCACCTCTCTGGGCCCCTCTTCGTCCCATCCCACCCAGGGCCCTGCCCTGCATTTCCCTACCCAGGACTGGCCCAGAATTTAAAGAGCCAGGGAGGTGTCCAGGGCTGGGGCACACCCCTGCTTTGGGGCCTGACCAATACTCTGAAATGCCCCTCCCCTGCTTAGCAGACCTCATGGCTCCCACTGGACTGAACTGCACAGTCCTCACCATGGCCCCCGCAGGCCGGCCCCTGTGTGCCCCTTCATCTCATCTGAACCACTCTGCCCTCCAGCCATGAGGCCCTTCCTCCCAGTCTGTGACCACTTGGAGCTCTTTCTCAACTCAGGGCCTTGGGCCATGCTGTTCCCTCTGCTGAAATGTTCCCCCACCTCCCCCTGGCCAATTCCACTGTCCTCAGTCATTCTCCTGGGGCCTCCTCAGCAGGTTCTCCATCCTGTGCTTTCTGTTTCTCATCTCACTTCCCTGTGGGACTCTGAACTCCATGAAGGAGGGAGCAATTTCCTTCTGTTTATTGCTGTGCACCCAGGACCCAGGACTGAATTGGTTAAGCCATTTGCTGCCTCTGGCCGTGACTTCTGCTCACTGGGAACTCGGTTAATCCAGTCACCTGTCTTACCCCCACTCACAGAGCCATTCAAACGGCAAGGGAACTAGAGGGACACTAGGCACAGGGAAGGGTCCCAGGCATGCATACGTCCTCTGTGTCCCCCACCCCTCCATGGGCCCTGCCGGAAGTTCTTCCTGGGATTCAGCCTCTCCCTCTCCATGCAGAGTTGGTTTCCAAAGCCCTGATCTAATTTAAGACCTCGGCAGCAAACCTCCAGGTGCAGCTGAGAGCCCTTCCTGCTCCAGGCTGTTTGTACCTGGGGCTGTCCCTGAGCAGTGGCCACGGTTTGAGGGCTGTGCCAGAGCCTCAGGGCAGGGGGCATGACTGCCCTTGTGTGCATCTCAGCCACCCAGTTATCACTTCATTCATTTAACAGCCTCATCTGGAGGATCTGCCTGGGGTGGGCCTGGGGCAGAGCATGAACAAGACAGACATGGTCCCTGCCTACATGAGGCTGCCAGCCTGGGGGAAGGGGGACAAGCGAGTACACAGGTACACAAGTACAGAAAGTGCTGGTACATGATTAAATGAGTGACACCACCAGGCATGGTTGCTCATGCCTGGAATCCCGGCCCTTTGGGAGACTGAGGCGGGCAGATCACCTGAGGTCAGGAGTTGGAGACCAGCCTGATCAACATGGAGAAAACCCATCTCTACTAAAAAATACAAAATTAGCCGGGCATAGTAGCACATGCCTGTAATCCCAGCTACTGGGAGGCTGAGGCAGGAGTACCACTTGAACCCGGGAGGCAGAGGTTGTGGTGAGTCGAGATTGCACCATTGCACCCCAGCCTGGGCAACAAGAGTGAAACTCCGTCTCAAAAAATAAATAAATGGATGACACCCATAGAGGCACACTGGGGGACCAACTGTGGGAGTGACATGTCTGGTGAGTGAGGAGGGGATGGGGGAAGAGGATCCAGGCCTTAGAGAGGAAAGGCGCCACCTCCCACCACATAACTTGGCTCGTGGTCGGTGGCTGTGTAGAGAAAGGAGAACGGGAAGAGAAAAGAGATCATAGGGGCCGAATCACCTTGGAGCCACCTGTGGTGCCAGTTGGATCCTGTCCTGAAAGAATGGGAAGCCATTGAAGGGCTTTAGTTTGAGAAGTGGCATGACAAAAAGACCACCCTGCTCTGTCAGGGTGGGTGGGTGGGTAAGGAGAGGACAGAGGGAGGCAGGTGCGGCCCTGGATTGTCCGGGAGAAAGGTGATGGTGGCTTGAACTAGGGCGGTGGTGACAGATGGAGCCCAGCAGATGGGTTCCAGGCTGCATTGGAGGGGACATCCCAGGCCTTGCAGGTCATTGTGGAGGAATGGGCCACAGAGAATTCCCAGGTGGATGGGGTGTCATTTCCGGAGGCAGGAAAACCTGCAGCGAGGGGGTAGGAGCCACGGTGATTAGACATCCAAGTGTAGACAGTTGGATATGTGAGTCTGGAGCTCAGGTGAGATCTGCATATATACAAATTTGGGCTCTGTCCATATGTATTTGGGAGAATGTGTGGATGGAGCTGGGCTCTCACCAGTTGGTGTTGGATGGGGAAACGGTGAAGGAAATTGGAAAGGAACAGCCCAGGAGATGGGAGGAAAACTAGCAAGATAGAGATAAAGACAGACACGTGCCTCTGCGCTTGGTGACGGGAAGGCTGGCAGTGGCTGCACGTTGAGCAGTTTCAGAGTGACGTGGCGATGGAGCCAGGTTCCTGTGGCTTGAGAAGAGAAGAGGGGTGTGGACGTTAAGACAGTTCAGAAGTTTCCTGTGGCAGAGGGGATGTATGGCCAAGCCCTAGGGAGGCTGGCACATGGGTCACATCCCTCAGCCCTGCCTCCTCCTCACACTGGCGCCAGGCCACGCGGCTCCCGCAACAAGCAGGCTGATTTTACCAAGCCATCACGTGGGCCGGGCACCGATGTGGGTGATCTTACTGAGTCCTCCTCATAAGCTTGTGTGGCAGGCAGTGTCATCTCCATTTTATAGAGGAGGAGTCTGAGGCTCTAGGGGCTGAAGTGGCTTTCCAAGGTCACATCCAGGAAGTGACAAGATCCACCCCCCCACTCATCCCTTTGTCGGGTCAGTTTGGGGCCCTGTCGCCTGGGGATTGAGGCTGGGTTCTGGGCTGACACCACCTTTCCCTGGGAAGGGGCTGAGCTGACAGTGCCCTGGAATCTCCCCCTTCTTTTCCACAGCGGTTCCTCAGCGACTATGGCCTGCAGTGGGTGGGTGAGCCCATGGACCAGGAGGACTCAGAGAGCAAGACAGTCTCAGAGGATGGCGAGAGGGACTGGATGACGGCCAGGAAGTTCTGGAAGCCAGGTAGAGTAGGGCATCCCCCAGGCCCTCTTCAAAAGGAATTCTCCAATAGATTGCTGTTGGCCAGCAGCTCCCCAGAGGCCCATCTCATTCATGCCCTGGCCCCCCTCGTAAGGCGCCCCGGAGAGCCCACACCTTGCCCCTGGCACAGTGCAGGGGCGGCCTCAGCTTCCGTCACTGAGCACTTAACCTGCTGGTCCATTTCTCCCCAGTCCCGCCTCTGCTCTCTCTTGCTCATCTGTCAGAGACCCAGAGATACAAGAGGTAGCAAGGCCTCATTTGCCTCAGGTTGCACAGTCTACAAAATGTCACCCATCTAGAAGCTGTTGCATTTAACAAGCAATAATCCTTCTGGCCGGGTGCAGTGGCTCACGCCTGAATCCCAGCACTTTGGGAGGCCGAGGTGGGCAGATCATCTAAGGTTAGGGTTCAAGACCAGCCTGGCTGGTGGCGAAACCCTGTCTCTACTAAAAATACAAAAATTAGCCGTGTGTGGTGGCACATGCCTGTAATCCCATCTACTCAAGAGGCTAAGGCAGGAGAATTGCTTCAAGCTGGGAAGCGGAGGTTGCAGTGGGCCAGGACTGTACCACTGCACTCCAGCTTGGGTGGCAAGAGTGAAACTCCGTCTCAATTAAAAAAAAAAAAAAAAGCAATGCTTCTGTTCTAGAAACTGCTCCCAGATTCCCAGGCATGGCCTCCCTCTCCAGGTTCGCTTATGGACATTGGAATCCACCTACTTCTGTGGGCCCCCACCATGTCTTGTTTTTAACTTGGCCGGTAATATCTAGAGGGATGTTCCCCCCACAGTCCCCTCCTATGGATTTGGGTCCATAGAACTGGCCATTTCTGAAAACCAGGCCCATTCTCTTCAAAGAATGGAGATTGTCACCCAAAAGATGCTTCTCCAGGCACTAGAGTAAGGCACACCTGGGCCCTCATCTCGATGCCACCTCTCATCCCAGGTGTGACTAGGGCAGGTGACCTCCTTTCTCTGAGCCTCACTTCATCAACAAAACAGGAGTGTTCTCCTTCCCTGGGAATTACAGGAGCAAACGAGTTAAACACAGAACACTTGGCTCTGGACTTGCAGCCATTGGCCTGACAAACAGGAGCCCTCGTTTCCAAAGTCAGAGGGCAGGGGTGGTCCTCCGGGAGCAGGAGCACAGCTCCCAAGGGGCCCATTTGGAAGATGATGACACCTTCTTGGTTTCCCGTCTCCTGCTAGGTAAAAACCCAGACTCCAAACAGGAGAATCCTGCCTCCTGTTTAGGCCTGGGCTGTGGCCAGAGCCCCCCAAATCTCAGGGTGCAGCACCCTCACCGCTTGTTCTAAAAACCTCACTTCCCATTTGTGCACCATTTGCAGCTTTTGTTTTTTTCTTGTTGCTCAGACTGGAGTATAGTGGCGTGATCTCGGCTCACTGCAACCTCCACCTCCTGGGTTCAAGCAATCCTCCTGCCTCAGCCTCCCGAGTAGCTGGGATTACAGGCGCCTGCCACCATGCCTGCATGCCTGGCTAATTTTTGTATTTTTAGTAGAGACAGAGTGTTGCTATGTTGGCCAGGATGGTCTCGAACTCCTGACCTTCTAATCTGCCTTCCTCAGCCTCCCAAACTGGTAGGATTACAGGTGTGAGCCTCCGTGCCTGGCCATTTGCAGCTTTCAAAGAATTTTCTTTTTTCTGTTTTTTTTTTTGTTTGTTTTTTTTTTTTTAAAGGCAGGGCCTCACTTTTGCCTAGGCTGAGTGCAGTGGCACAATCATGGCTCACTGCAGCCTCAACTTCCTGGGCTCAAGCAATCCTCCTACCGAAGCTGTCCGAGTAGCTGGGACTGCAGGCACGTGCCACCAAAGCCAGCTGATTTTATTTTTTGTAGAGCTGAGGTCTTGCTGTGTTGCCCAGGCTGATCTTGAACTCCTGGATGCAAGTGATCCTCCTGCCTCAGCCTCCCAGAGTGCTGGGATTACAGTTGTGAGCCACTGTGCCCCGCCAGCATCTTCATAGCCTTCATAGCCTTGACAGGGGCAGAGGTTATTCCATTTCACAGATGGGTAAAGGGAGGCACTTAAGGAGTCTATGGACTCATTGAGGGGAGAGGGAAAAGACTTAAGGCTGAGAGCCCATCCAAAGGCAGTTGGTCACCAAGGCAGAAGATGAGATGATGGATGATGAGGGTGGGGATGGTGAGAAGGTACTGGCAGAGAGATTTAGGTGGAATTCGTGGCCCTGGTATCTGTACACGAGGGGGACTGGAGGAGTCAGGAATGACTCGAGGGAGCCCAGCTGCGGAGAAGATGCTGAGTCCATTTGGGACACAGCAAAGCTGGACGCTGTGCAGCCTGGATGTTTCTGGGAAGGGGAGTGTGGCCCTGCTGCCCAGGACACTGTAGGCCCTGGCATGCCAGCACCAAAGCTCTAACTGAACCCAGGGTGGGTGTCATGGGGAGAGTTCTCCAGGGACCCCAGGTGTGAGTGTGAGGTGAGGCCCTATCAGGTGGCCGCAGGTGCTCTAAGAATGTATATCCTGAGTCTAGGCCAGAGGCTCCCTAGTGTCGCACCCCAGGCCCTGCCATGGCAGGTGGGGCTCAGGCTTCAGGTGGCCTGCCATCTTGTTGCCAGGCAGCCTTCCTCCTGGCCAGGGCCACGTCCCTGCTCCTTTCCTGATGGCTGGTTTCTGGACCTGGCCTGTGGATTCCTACTCTGCCCTGATTGGTTGGTTGTTCTCTGAGTGCCTCAAGTCAAAGTCACTTGTGAAAAACACCGCCACTCCGTTGGAGGCCCTGGCCACATGGCCCCCTCATGCCTTTTCTTCCTTCTTTTGTTTTTTGATTTTTTTTTTCAGCTTGGGAGGGGCCTTGATTCAGCTCTTCCTGCCAGATGAATGACACGTGTTTCATCACTAGCAGCTTCTGTTCCTGGGATTTCTCTCTACCCTGCATCCCCATTCCTCTCTCCCCAGGTGCCAGTCTGCTCCTGCCCAGGGCCCTCAGGCTCACAGCCCGCTGGCCTGATGCTCACTGATCGCTCTGCTCTCCCTCTCTTGGAGAGGCTCCCACAGGCACTGGGGTGGAGGCTCGTGGAGTGTGAGCCAGAGCCGTCTGTGCTGAGCCGGGGGGATGATTCAAATGTTCTGGAGTCTGGGACTCCTGCCTTAGGGAGGAGGGCCGGTGGGGGCGTGAAGCGGCCCAGCAGTGGGGAAACTGTGCAGAGGCTTGGCGTCAGGCTGGATTGCTCACTCTCCTGCTCTCTCTGCCAGCTTCACAGAGGATGATGCTGTGCCAGATGCTTCAGGGTCCTCGGAGACATGAAAGGGACAGTCCTGCTCTGGTCACACACCACTTGGGCCAGGTGTTGGGCCTCGGGGCTGAGAGCTCTGGTCAGCTCTGAGGTTCGCGCTTCCCTCCCCCTGGCGCTTTCTGAGCTCCTCACTCCCTGCTTCCTGTTCCCCTGAGAATCCTGACCCTCCCATCCCCGTCTGAGGTCCCCACTTCCCCTACCCTAGTCAGTCCCTGCCTCCCTCTGTGGCTCCACCTCTCCTTGCCGGCACCTTGAATGCCTCCCTCCTTCCTCCCAAGCCCCACACTCCTGAGTCTGGTTTGGAGAACCCCTGACTCTGCATCCTGTGTGACTTGCCCCTGGGCCTGCCCTTCAATGCCCCCAGCCACAGCTACCTGGCCCAGCTCCTCCCCACCTATACTTTTACTTCCAGCCATTGCTCCCGCTCTGTCCCCACAGAGTGCCTCGCCCCCTTCTCTCTCCCCTGGCCAGCAAACCCACCCGCCCTGTGTGGACTGTGCTGCTGCTGTGGCTTTGTGGGGAGGGCTCTCCTTGAGGGAAGGGGCTAAAGGCTCTGGCTGAGGCGGGGTTCAGGTCGGGTCAGACCCCAGATCGGCAGCTTGCTGACCCCCTCTGAGTTCCTTTCCTCCTCAGTCGTGCTGAAGTGCTCCTAGGGCCACAGAATGGATGTGGTGATGAACTGTGACAGCCACTGTCACCTAGCTGTTGTCATGCTTGTCCCAGTGCTTGGCACATGGGCAAGGGCATGTGTCGCTGCGTGTGATTGGCTGTGATGCCCATGTGCCCAGGCTCGGATGATTAGAGCATGCTGTGACAATTGTCTGCACAGGATGAGGTGGGGACAGGGTGGTGCGTAGCTCAATGGCAGGGACCAGAGAGAGCTGCGGGTGGGACCCAGCAGGCCTGAGTTCAGATCCTGCCATGCCACAGGCTTGCTGAGTGCTCTGGCAGTGACCAGCCCCGCAGGGCCTCCTTTCCTGCACTGGCCCCTCTGAGGAGCAGAGTGACTGCAAGAAAGTGCCCAGGGTGGGGCCGGCTTGCAGGTGTGTGGTAACAGTGGTTCCACTTCCTGTTGCAACTGTCTGCCTGAGGGTCGGGCAGGCACAGGGAGGGCGGCACCACGTGAGCTGCTGGGGCGCCACGGCACTCGTGCAGTGAGGGGCTGCCAGCTCTCCACTAAGATGGTAGGGTTTGGCCCGCTTCTGGGCTCCACAACCCCCTCAGTGATACTTACACATGCCATTGTCACTGTTTGCCGCCCTTTTGTCTTCACTCTGGGCTTGGCCTGGCAGGACTCTGGGCATGAGTGACAGGGCCCAGCAGAGCACAGGTGCTCCTGTTCTAGTGGCCCAGCCACTCTGGGCCAGGCCCAGAGCTCAACGCTCCCGAGTTCAAGGGGTACCCAGCATGGCTGAAAGGCAAACAAGCAAGCAGATAGCAGTGGCCTGTGATGAGGGCAAAGGGAGCCGGCCCAAGGGCTGCAGGCATATCGCCTCAAGGCGGGCAGAGGGTGGGGATGCTCCTAGCAAGGGTTCAGGAGGAGGTGGGGGTGAGTGGGAGCAGCTTGCGCCGACGTTGAGTAGGTGGTGCTAGGGACAACAGTCACCATCTGCTAAGGACTTCTTCTGAGCCTCACAGCAGCCCTGTGAAGCTTGGGAGCTTTTATTGTCTTCATTGTACAGAAGAGGAAGCTGAGACCTATAGAGGCCCAAGGTCACAAAGCTTGGAAGTGCCTTTCAGTACCCAGCAGAGAGCAAGGGGAGGGGCATGTTGAGGGGAGGCTGGGTAGGCCAGGTGCTAAGTAAGGGTCTTGGGAGTTGGGCCAAAGAGCTTAGACTTGACCTCCCTGCTCCTCATTTTAATATGCTCATGGGCTCTCAAAGTTGGATGAGGCCTCAGAGGTGATCTCCCAGCATTGCCACCCTCCCTGGAAAAGGGACCCGAGTAAGCAGCCTCCCAAGAACCAATATTGAGAGGCAGCCTACGTGATCACTGACCACTGAGGCTGAGTCACTTGGGCCCTGCAGGCTGCATGATCTGGGGCGTGACACCTCACAAGGCCCAGTTTCCTCATCTGTAAAACGGGAACAGTGATGCCTGCCTTCCGGTGCTTGGCACAGGGTCATCATTGAGACAGGTTCACCAGCTGGAGCTTGCAGGCAGCACAGGGTTCTTACCCTCTCCCCATTGTGCAGAAAGGACAGCTGTGGCTGAAAGAGGAAATGCCTCCCCATTGGAGTTCTGCTGCTAGCTCAGGGCAGGCCTGGGACTTGCCCTCTGACCTTCCTCACCCTGTGCGACACCCCCCCCCACCCTGACTGCACCTCTCTCCATCCACGGGTCAGGCCTCTGTTGAACCCTTGTGGGGTGGTGGCGGCTGACTGGCTTCGCACAGTCCTGCTGTGGTAGCTCTTCCTGTCTCATTCTTTCAGTGCTGGTTTGCCCAGAGCTGTGGTTCTTCCTGGCCCCAGTCTCATCTCTATCACATCCAACGCCTGCTGAACCCACCCGCTTTTACTTCTTTAAGCCAGGGCCATTTTCTTGGCAAGCTTCTCTCTTCCCTTTCATAGTTTCTCTGCATCCTCCCTGTTCTGACCCCATCCCATGTCGATGACCCATGTTCATCAGCCTGAAAAAGCCCTGGCCCTGGGAGGTGGCAGGAGTACTGGATTACGAGTTGGTGTATTTGGTGCTCTTCCTGGCTCTGTCTGATCAGGCCATGTCATCTGACCTTTCTAGGCCTCACTTTCCCCATCTATAAAGAGGAGGGAGCCCTGGCAACAGCAAGACCCTGTCTCTACAAAACAAAAACACATTTTTTTAAGTAGCAGGGTGTGGTGTCACCTGCCTGTGGTCCCAGATACTCGGGAGGCTGAGGTGGGAGGATCAATTGAGCCCGGGAGGTCAAGGTTGCAGTGAGTCATGATCATGCTGGTGCACTCCAGCCTAGGTGACAGAGACCATCTCTCAAAAAGAAAAGAAAAAAAAGAGTTGAGGCTGGCGTTGTATGAGATGATCTGTTCTGCTACTATTTTCAGGTTCGCCAGTTTGGTTTTAAAGTAGTTGTTAAAATAATGTCTTGATATCATTCTGTTAGGTGAGTTTTTCCTGGGAATCTCAGGGACTATGGGGAAACCCCAGGAGGAGGTGGGGGCAGGGATAGCCCCTTCAACAGTAGGAAGTATAGGGGAAGGAGAAGGCCAGCTGGGGCCTACCGTTTCAGCCGCTGCAAAGGCAACAGGAAACACATCTGCACCTCCCTGGTACCGCCACTGCACTGCTGAGGGGAAGGGAATTCAGTCCCCAGAGCCCTGACCCACTTCCTGCCGCAGCCTGCCTGTCCTGTTGAAAAACAGCCTCTCTGAGGCCCCGAAAGTTACTGGTGTGTGGTAGTGTACACCTGAACGGATGACTTACTTGGGGGCCAGGTCCCATCAAAGATGACACAACAGGCCCCTGGTCTGTCCCCAGCCAGCATCCACCTGCCCTCCACCTTTCTGCTCTGTTATCTGTCACGGCTGTCCCGACCCTCCATCTTTTCCCCCGAAGCCAGTGCACAGCTGTATGCGCCACACATTTTTCAGAATAGGAGGCCAGAGCTTCGTCAGTTTCTCAAAGGGGTCTGTGACCCAGAAATAGTTGCACAACCTAAGGTCTGTCCCATATCTGTTCTGTCCAGCAGCTGTCCCTACATCCTCCCTAAAAGCCATCTGTCCCTCTTCTGACCTCCCTCTCCTGATGGTGCAGATGAGTGGGAAAACAGACTTGAGAGTCATCCCTGGCTCCCTTCCTAGTTCCTCCTTTCATTTACCACGTGGAAGAGTCGTTTTTCAGCTCTGTGGGCCTGTTTCCTCATGTGTAAAATGGAGATAAACAACCCCTGCCTCATAGCCTCAGGGTTGGCCTAAGGACCACATGTGCAAGGTGGAGTTGGACACAGTAGCAAACATGGACAGGGTGCATGTTCCAAGCTGGCTCTTAATGTGGTCATCCTGGAGACTTACAGCCATCTTAGGGGGCAGGTACTACTGTCATCCCATTCTAGAAGACAATGCTGCAGCATAAGCATTAAATGACCGGTCTAAGGTCACACAGGTAGAAGTGGAGGAGCTGGGATTTGAACCTGGAAGACCTTGATCCAGAGCTGGGAGCTCTGCCCTGTGCTTTTCAGCTGCCAACCCAGTGCCTCACACAGATCTGAGATCAGGTCCTGCTTTTGCTGCCTACTGCTGTGTCCCTCGCAAGCCATGTAACTTTCTCTAACCCTCCGTTTCCTCATCTGAAAAATGGAAGTGATTATAGCCCCTACAGATGGGCTTGTAAGAAGTGGGGATGAGATATGGATAGTAAACCCCTAGCACAAAATAAGTGCTCAATAAAAGACAGCTGCTCTTATTATCTAGTGTTAGTTGTCATTCCCTTTCCCCAGGCAGTTACTTAAGGAGACACTAAGACCACTGCCAAGCTTGGGAGGGAGCCGCAGAGGCCAGGGCTCATAGGTGTCTGTCTGTCCTCTTTGCCAGGGGACTCACTGGCACCCCCTGAGGTGGACTTTGACAGGCTTCTGGCCAGCCTGAAGGATCTTAGTGAGCTGGTGGTAGAGGGTGACACCCAGGTGACACCAGTGCCTGGCGGGGCGCGGCTTTGTACCCTGGAACCCATCCCGCTGAAGGTCTACCGGAATGGCATCATGATGTTCGACGGGCCCTTCCAGCCCTTCTACGATCCCTCCACACAGGTAGGAGTGGTGTGGGGGGCATTGTGCTAGTGCCCCTGCTCTCCACTGTTAGTTGGGGATGATGGAGCCAGCTCCCCCCAGGCCCAGCCTGCCCTCCACAGGGCACCCAGGCCAACGCACGACCTGCAGAGGCCCCTTCCCAAGCCCTGGGACTCAATGTTTCCAGAGGGTGCGGCACTGGGTGACCCCAGATCCAGGGACTGGCATCCAGACCAGTGGCAGGGCAGGGTGGGTGCAAGCCCAGGCCACCCCTTCACTTTTCCTCTCCCCTTACAGCGCTGCCTCCGAGACATACTGGATGGCTTCTTTCCCTCAGAGCTCCAGCGACTGTACCCCAATGGGGTCCCCTTTAAGGTGAGCTGCTCCTCAAACCATACTTTTGGAGATTTTGGATGGAGTGGGTATACACAGCCTCATGAAGCAACTCCCATTCTGAGGGGCACCCCAGCCTTCCAGGAGGATGAGCCTGAAGCCCAGCTGGGAAGGGAGTGGAGAGGCTGAGCAGCAAGCAGCGCCCTCTGCTGGCATCGTGGAGACAGCCTTGGCTGCGGGGCCACTGCCTCCTAGTCCTCCCCAGCATTCAGGACACCTTGACAAGCTGTGGTCCCTGCAGAAGTGGCCCGGCTTCCCCCAAGCCTCCTGAAGCTATCTGGGTAGGGTGGGAGGCAGGGCTGTGAGCCACAAATGCAAAGCAGAGGGAACAGATGTTGGGACTCAAGGACAAGGTAGAGCTGGCCTGTGGGTAGGTGCCACCACCGGAGCCCATGAGGCTATGTGTTCCAGAGGGTGGTAGGTTAGTGCTGCAGCGAGGGCATGTCAGGGAGGGAGCATGTTGCCACCAGAGCTCAGGAAACAGCATGAGTCATGCCTGGGGGCGTTGAAGGCATCTGTGCCACCATGGGGGCCTCGTAGCTATCCCTTGATGAGGGAAGTGAGGCGCCATTCCCACATCCGGGGCCCCATTAGGGATACCTTGCAGGTGAGGCCAACCCTGACTCCCCCAGCCCTCCTAGGGGAACTTTATCACCAGTCCTGGTCCAGCTGCCAGAGCAGTGTCCTATCTGGAGACTCAAGCTAGAGGCCCCTATGAGTCCCTCAGAGCTGTTGCTCCACTGTCTCCTGAAAACTGTGAGGCTGGTGAGGGCAATGGCTGGGCCCCAGGAATGATGATGGGGTTTGTGCTGCAGACTGGACAAAAGCAGGGGCTTCGTCCTCTCCTGAGCCCCTCACACTGTTTTCCTGGTAGGCTCCTGAGATGGGGAGTCTCTGAGGAGGGTGTCAGTACTGCAGATTCAGCTAGTGTGGATGGGGTGCTTGTAGGAGCAGCAGGGCCCAGGGAGGTGACATTAGAATGAACTGCGGCTCTCCTGAGGCCTGGGTTTCCTCATCTTTAAATTGGGGGTTGCATTAGGCCATACCCTGGCGTGTGTTTGGGCAAATAGCGATGAAAGTGGGGCAAAGGGCTGAAGAGCTGGGCCTGCTGCTGTCTCCCTTCTTTCTTGCCAGGTGAGTGACTTGCGCAATCAGGTCTACCTGGAGGATGGGCTGGATCCCTTCCCAGGTGAGGGCCGTGTGGTGGGCCGGCAGCGGATGCGCAAGGCCTTGGACAGGGTGGAGGAGCACCCAGGTGAGTTTGGCCTCCAGGCTGAGCCAGGGCTCGGGGAACTGAAGAACAAGCTCCAGGCAGGCTCCAGCACCACTCACAGTCCCTCCTGGGCCTCGGTTCTCAATGCCCCCCTGCAGGCTCCAGGATGACTGCTGAGAAATTTCTGAACAGGCTTCCCAAGTGTGTGATCCGGCAAGGCGAGGTGATTGACATCCGGGGCCCCATTAGGGATACCTTGCAGGTGAGGCCAACCCTGACTCCCCCAGCCCTCCTAGGGGAACTTTATCACCAGTCCTGGTCCAGCTGCCAGAGCAGTGTCCTATCTGGAGACTCAAGCTAGAGGCCCCTATGAGTCCCTCAGAGCTGTTGCTCCACTGTCTCCTGAAAACTGTGAGGCTGGTGAGGGCAATGGCTGGGCCCCAGGAAGCAGCTGGGTTGGTTGTAAGAGGGCTCAAGTCAGAGTCCAGGCCAGGGGTGAGCCCAATGCCCAGGCCACCGCATCAAGGTCTATGCCAAAATATCCAACTCAGTACTGGGTACTCCCTTTGTGGTGGCCCTACAGGCCCCTCAGACTCTACCTGGCCCTCATCATTCTGTCTCCTGACTCCGTATCCTGCTTCTCCTTCTAGGTGTCCGCCTGTGAAAGGCACCAAACCTGTTTCTCAGGCCTCCTCTGCCTCCCTTACCCACACATTGCTAAGTCCTGTCTGGTCTGTCCATCCCCAGAACTTCTCCCAGATGCATATCTTCTCCCCATTAGCAGCACCCAGCACCCTGGTCTAGGGTCTAGAGTGTCTCTCCCAGATGGCTGCCTCCAACCGCCACTCCTGCCCCTGCTGACCATACTCCAGGCTACCTTTCCTGTTGAAATCTTCCAGTGGTTCTTGGTATAAAGCCGGGTTCCTTATGCTGGCACTCAAGGCCCATCCTACATTGCCAGGCCCCTCCACACACCAGCTTTTTCCTTTCAGTCCAATTGATCCCCAGCTTCAGCCACACACAGTGCTGGCAGTTGCCCAAATGTATCACCTCTTCTAGGAAGCTTCCCCTGACCCCAGGATCTTCGTTGATGCTGTCTGGAATATCCCTGCACCCATTCCATTTCTAAGAACTCGCACTCATCCTTCAGTCACAGCTCAGTTGTCATTTTCCAGGGAAAGCCTTCCCTGACCCCAGGCTGCGATAGGCTTCCAGCCTGGTCATCATCTGTCTCCATTAGACAGAGCCTCCTTCCCTTCCATTACCTCTCCTCTGGCCTTGGTTCATACAGAACACCCCCTCCCGCTTTGCTCATTGGTCTCATCTGTCCCTGGTCAAGGATGTGTCCCTCTAAGGATTGCGGGGATGACTCAAATGGGGCCTAAGGCTGTGTTCCATCTCCGTTGATACCTTCTAGAACTGCTGCCCATTGCCTGCCCGGATCCAGGAGATAGTGGTGGAGACGCCCACCTTGGCTGCTGAGCGAGAGAGGTGAGGGCAGGACGGGGAGGTGACGGCCTGGGGGCGTTGGGTCACTGGAAGCGCTGATGGCCTCTGGGCTGTGCAGGAGCCAGGAGTCGCCCAACACACCGGCACCCCCGCTCTCCATGCTGCGCATCAAGTCTGAAAATGGGGAACAGGTCTTCCTACTGATGATGCAGCCTGACAACACCATCGGCGATGTGCGAGCCCTGCTATCGCAGGCCAGGTGGGGTCAGGGCCGGGCTGGGGCCGCAGAGGGGCTCTGGCCCCACTGCCCAGCCTGATCTGCTGTGCCTGGTCCCCAGGGCCATGGATGCCTCTGCCTTTGAGATCTTCAGCACATTCCCGCCCACACTCTACCAGGACGATACACTCACGCTGCGGGCTGCAGGTCTTGTGCCCAAAGCAGCACTGCTGCTGCGGTCACGCCGAGACCCGAAGTCCAGCCTGAACTTCAGTTCTGGTCCTTGTCCTGGGCCCGGCCCCAGTCCTGGCCCCAGCCCCCAATAAAGCACCGCCCCTGCTGCTCCGCCAGGCTCTCAGGGGTGGGCCATCTCGCCAGGCATGTAGGAAAGGCCTGGGACCAGCTGGGCCAGGGAGAGGGCGGTGCCGACCCGCCCCTTGGTAACTTGAGCCCCAGCTGGCGGGCTTGGCTGCTGGGTCTTTGTCTTCTAGGTTCCTCTTTCTCCCAAGAAGGGCTAAGCAGATCCTGTGAAGGGAGGGATGCAGTGGAGGGAAGGAGCTGGCCCCAGCTGGGGCAGCAGAGCCTTACTGTGAATGTGTGCAGCCAGCCGATACCTGTGCACAGAAAGGCACAGACCCACTCTTCAACTCGTGGGGACACTTCAACACTGCACAAAGCCATTTTGCCACTGTGGGTGCCCACCTCCCATGACTCATACTTAGCCATTCTGCTCCAACACAGGCAGGTGCATGGGATGGACACACTCGCTGACAGGCATGCAAATGTGCAGTACACACAAAGCACAGCGTGATGTGGACACCATCACATGCATGTGAACTGGAGGGTGTCCCAGACATCTCCAGAAACCACTGATCCATACAGGTATGTGTGTGCCAGACATATCCAAACACATGCACTAACATGGAGGTGACAGTCCCATGAGGACAGCTCTACCAACCTTCCCACAGAGCACAGCCTCAGCACAGTCACAACTACCAACCTTACCGAGGGCAGGGACCCAGGAGGCCCAGGCCACAACCAAACAGATACAGTGCCAATGGAACAGGACATTTAATTGTCTCTAGGGTCCTCCTTGGAGAGGGATTGCGGGGCCTTTGGCAGAGCTCTGGCTGATGGAACCAACAGAGGTGCCCATCAGCCAGTGTCAGGCAGGATGGTGGTCCCAAGGCTTGGCTGGGGACAGCCAGCATTTGGGGCTGTTGCTTAAGACAATTTCTAAGACTAGTGGATAAGGAATGTTGCCTTTGAATGGAGAAGGGGGGACTACATTTACAAGGGAGGAGAAGTGGCCTGGGTTGGGGGAAGGACTCTAAGGTCAGGTTAGGAATGACAGGGAGTTGGTCACAAGGTCCTTCATGGCCAGGTGAAGGCTGGGGGGAGTGTGGTGATGGCGTCCAGCAGGGGAACTGTGGGCAGGCTTGACTTAGGCCAGCTTCAGGAACTCTTGCAGCGTGTTTTGTTCCACGGCCTCCACGAAGAGCTCATAGTCCTGGGGAAGGGGAGGCAAGGGGTGGTCACCTGATCTAACCCTGGCCAGAGTCCTCCTCCAACACTCCCCCCAGCCCCCAGTTCATACCCCACAGTACTGGTCCCCGTTGACAATCTGGGGTGGGGTGGCCTTGGGGTTGCCCGCCAAGGCTCGCATCTCATCCCTCAGGGCGTTGTCCTGGGAGATGTCCACTAGCTGGTATTGGATGCGCTTCCCATCCAGGATCCGGGTCACCTCGCTCTGCTGGGACTTGATCTGGGGACAGAGGGTGGGCAGGAGTTAGTGGATGGGCTGGAGGGTTAACGGGGGGAACTCTGGTCAGGTTGAGAGGCTGTGACTGGGAACTTTTGTCCCCCCATCCCCCTCCACACAAGGGGTGGGTTCTGGCCTCTAGGAGTTGGGAGGGTGAGTCAGGCTTGAGGTAGTGCAGATGAAGAGAGGGATCATCAACCACAGGGAGGGGGTCAGAGTAAAGGGAAGTGAGATTAGGCTCAGGGTGGGGAGGGCAGGGCAGGATCCCCCGGCCCCGGAAGAGCAGGCTGCAGTTGTGGTCAGGGTCAGGTAGTGGCAGTGCAGAGAATGGGTGTGGGGTTGATGGGGGATGGGCGCGGGCAGTTAATGCTGCGGCTGCAAAGGACCCAGGATGCCCGACGAAGACGCTCATAATGGGGCCTCGGGACTGGATTTGGGAGACCATGCCCAGCACCTCGCCGGCACCCCCCCCCACTCGCCCCGCCCCTGTCCTGGGGGCGGGTCCGGGGCGCTAGGGTCCGAAACACCAGGACACAGCCCTGCGTTCTTCCCCAGCGCCAGTCCAGGCGCACACTTACTTCGCGGGAGCCGGTGACCGACGTGCTGTAGACGCGCAGGCCGCTCATGCTGGGGATACGCGGGCAGGCCGGTGGGCAGAGGGCGGTGGTAGCGGCAGCTGCACTGCCGGTAGACTACGCCGCCGCCGCGCTCGGGAGCGGTTTCCTTCCTGCTCCGCCCGCAAGTCATCACGCTCGGGACCAATGGGTGGCGTGGGCAGGCGGGGCTGGGCCTGCGCGACACCGCCCCGCGCGCCGAGGGCCCCCTCCTTTCCCCCCGGTGACCAGACGCGCAGAGGGACCCGTCCCACGCAGAGACGCCCCTTCTGCGGCTGCCCTGCTAGTCGTCTTCGGCCCTTCCCTGATCTGGAGCTCAGTGTGTGACTGGGGAGAGGCTGAATGGCAGGACAGGCCTGGAGAGGGTCTGGCAGGGGCCTCCTCTCCAGCCTCACACAGGTTTGGTGCATCCAACTCCCCAGCCCCGAGAGCCGCCGTCTCCAGGAGGAGGTGCCCTAATAGTACAATACAGCGTAGCTTGGGGCTTTGGAAGGCTTGAGCTTCTTTCAAACCCAAGTTCCCAAACTAAGGAACCTTGCTCCAAGGGAACCTGCCCCCCACCCCCGCCCCGACTAACCCTGGGGGATAGGAACCAAGGACAGCAGAAAGAGCCTGTGCTTAGAGATTTTCCCTCAAGTTCCTCTCCACTCAGATGAGAAGGTTTACACAAGGAAGGGTGGTGGCAGGACGCTGGGGCCACACCCTCAAGGAACCAGGTGGAGACCAAGGCTGACAGCTGTAAAGTGTGGCAGTAGAGGGTGGTGTCAGGACTCTCGAGAGCCTGGGCTCAAGCTGACCCTTAAGATCCACCTCTGGTCTTGGGTGGTCCAAGCTCAACCCCAGCTCCATGCTGCAGATGGCATTTCCAAACCACTACTACTCCCAGCAAGAATTCAGGGATTGAGGGAGCAGACTGCAGCAACCAGCCCAATTTTGGAGACCTAGCCATCTGTGTGGCATTCAACGTAATGCTTTTTAGGTGTTTCCCTGGTCCAGGGCTCAGGCAGGTAACAGCCCAAAGACAACTCTTAGCTTTGGTAAAGCGACTTACAGAGGCTGCTGACTTCCTGCAAGGACCGCTGAAACTTTCCAGTGACAAACTTCTGCTATGACTCAGGGCAGGTTTGCCCAACAGAAAGTGAGTGGGAAGAGATTTGCTCCGATAGAACGACAGAGGAGCGGATGTGGCAGAGATATGGACATGAGGCTGGACCTGCTAAAGGTTCCTCCTTGCTGCTGCCTGGGGAACCTGGCTGAACAGCCAGACTTTGGCTCTAACAAGCCAAAGTGAGGGGTAGAATAGCATGGTGGTGGTGGTGATGGAAGGCTATGGAAAACTGAGGAGTCTGTTAAGATATTTTATTTTATAATCAAAATAGGCAATACAAACAAGTTGACATAACAAAGATTCATATAAATAACTGGTTAGAAACTTTATGAAGAAAAATATCCGTGAGCATGGTGGCTGGGCTCCCAATGCACAGGGTGGAGACCAACCAGGCGGCTCTGCCTTTAAGAGGCAGGAGCCCAGAGGCTGAAGGGATGGCTGGGTGGGGCTGCTCTGAATGGAAGGGATAAGTCACTCCATAAATAAAATACAAACTTGTAAAAACACTTAAGAAAGAGCCTCATTCAGGCCCAGGCGTGAGGTCTAGGATGCTGCCAACAGCCGAAAGCTTAGCAAAAATCTTGTTGTGGCTGACTCTGGCCCACACATGGCCCCTGCCTGGCCTGGCTCCAGATCTAGAGGAGGCATGGCTGGCCCAACAACCAGATACTAACAAGTGTGAGATGCTCCCTAAACCAGAAGGCAAGAAAAACCAGAGGACAAAGGGCCCTCCCTAAAGCCCCAGAGAAACAACCCAGAAAACATTGAAAGCTGTACTTTAAAGCTGACTTGTACTGGGTACTCTGAAGTTTCAAGGAGGCCAGAGCAGGAAAGGGAAAGGACTGACCCCCACTGCCCCCAACATGAGAGGCACAAATTAGAGGGCTGGGCACAGGGTGTAACCCTGGGTGAGGGAGTAAGCAGCTTGACAGTTGCCCTTTGGTCTCTGGGTTAGAATTCTGCCCAAGGCTAGAAGCACAGAGAAGACTATGTACTCTTAAGTCCAGGAAGGGGGCTACCTGGAAGGCCTGAGAACAAAGGAGAAAGGGGCTGGGCTAAACACGTGGCCAGGGCCCTAAGGACACAAGGCAGCTGGAGAGTGGTATCTCTTGTTATGGTAGGCAGATTAAAGAGTCCCAGCTGTAATCCCTAGGTCCCCATTCCTAGTAGTTATATGCTAACCAACACATTACCCTGAGGCTTCTGGGAGAACAAGAGCCCTGAGGAATAAAAAGTGAGACCGGGCATCAGAAAACCCAGAAAGCAGCTCAGTTCCCAGGAAGGCTGGCACAGGAGGCCTGAGAATTCTTAAATGGCCATTGTTACTGGTACTCGCTCAGCCTTTTCAGGCCCCTCTGATGAGCTCTCTAATCAGCAGGACCAAGGTATAAAGTGGGAACGAACATGGTTCTACCCATTGGATAGAGAAGAAAAGTGGACAGCTTGTTCATCTCTGATGTCAGCCTAGGACTGGGAACACTTTGTGAAGACTTATCTGTTGTGCCTGCCGAAAGTTAATTAGTAACTCACCCTTGAAAGTGAATTAACGGGACAAACATAATCCAACATGCCAGTGTGGGGTAGGACACAGTTCCCTAATCAGCCCTTGGCCCCCAGATGCAGGCTCTCCTATCCCCTCTGATACTTCTCTGGGAATAGCAGACAAGAGAATGTCAGGGCAGAAACCTGCTGGACTAGGCTCTCAGCAGCCCAGATCCTCCCTGGGGGAATCCCCCAGAATTCCTCACTGTGTGACACAATTTTCTCCCATGTCCTGGGCATATCTGTCTGACATGGTGGTCCTTAAGTCCTCAATGTCACGATGCAGCTGTTGGACTTCTTCTAGTTTCTTC